CTGCCTGCCTATCTATCTATCTATCTATCTATCTATCTATCTATCTATCTATCTATCTATCTATCTATCTATCTATCTATCTATCTATCTATCTATCTATCTATCTATCTATCTATCTATCTATCTATCTATCTATCTATCTATCTATCTCTCTATATGTCTGTCTGTCTGTCCATCCATCCATCCATCCATCCATCCATCCATCCATCCATCCATCCATCCATCCATCCATCCATCCATCCATCCATCCATCACGATTCAGTTAAAAAAAGTATTTATTTTGACTTGTACTGTATGTAGAAAAACACCTACTGTAAGTGATCATATTAGAGGTTATTATATTTTCAATGATTAAAAATGTTTAATATATTATCAATTTGGGATTCCAAATACAAAAATTAGATTTTACTGTGCCGGTTCTAAGTGTAGATCTGCTGAATGACTAAAAAAGTTCTTACTATGATGGTAAAAACTGTACAATTCTAGTCAAACCATATGTCTGCAATCTTATACCAAAAATGAAAGTAAGGGCAGTTATAAAAACTAAAAAATAAGCCCCAAACTTTATCAGCACTGCCTTTAGAATCTGTATGGATCTTCTTGGGGACTTGGTTTCACAAATATGCCTGGCAAAATATTTTGTTATATAACCTACTGTTACAATGGGTTACATTTTCTTGAGTGTTTCCAATAAATCATTCATACATTTTCCTCCGACTTAGTCCTTTTATTCATAAGGGGTTGCAACAGTGGAATGAACCACCAACTTATCCAGCGTATATTTTACACAGCGGAAGCCCATACAGCTGTAACCCAGTGCTGAGAAACATCCCTACACTCTCACATTCTCACACACACACACACACACACACACACACACACACACACACACACACACACACACACACACACACACACACACACACACACACACACACACACACTACGAACAATTTAGCTTATTCAATTAACCTATACTGTGTGTCTTTGGACTGTGGGGGAAACCGGAGCACCCGAAGGAAATCTACCCGAACATGGGGAGAACATGTCCAATAAATTAAGGTACTAAAATATGAAAGTTATTATATTTTGCTCAGAAAAAAATTCTATTAAGCAGGACATCTAATTTATAGAAACAAATCAAGTAGTATTATACTTTTACAGTTTTGATCCTCAAAAACATTTTTGTCTTTGACCTCTATCTAGCTGAAGAAACACCCATATGTTCACATGTCGGAAATGTAGGGAAAAACAGCTCAAGGTTGTAAAATTTGACCTAGATGTGGATCCTCAGAGAATCGGTTTCTAAGATAATGTCCAGCATGGAGAACTCCAGATGTAGATTACGTCATACGATGGTAGATGTCATGCTTCAGCTTTGACTGAGTAGAAACAGAGCTTTACTGTAGGTCCCATTTCAGCAGGTCCTGGGTGCACAAACAAACCTGCATAACTATATTTTTGGTAAGTCAAGTGGTGACCGGAACAAAGGTGAGGTGACAACATAATGAGCCAAAGAGAATACGCAGGTAGCCAGGTTACGTGGAGTTACAGATTGTGCCAGACTTGATTTGGAAACCATTATATCCAATGACATAAAGGCCTGGTAACACCTAATTAAGCGCATTGGATGAGGCTTTTACAAGAGTTCATTACAGTACATTACAGATCTGTTACAAATCCTAGTGCTGTCTCAGCTGTTGACCAGCCAAACTTTCAAGTGGTAGGTCAAGATGAGCTATCAGAGATCAAATTTTTTCAGCTTAGTTTTTAACAATCTTCTTTGCAATTTTACAAACTCACAAAAAATCTTATACACTAGAGCTTTACGTTAGGTATCTCGTTTTCAAATATGTGAGCCCCAAAGGTGACTATTTTAATAATAAGCTGAATTAATGCAACAAACTCATGTATAATCAATTAGCATCTGTCTTTAAATGTATATAAAATATTGTTAAAAAATCAGTTTCTCAAGAGTATGACTGGCGTTTTAACTTTTGCAACCTGGCATTTGTGTTTTGGACAGCAGATCTATGCATTGAATAATGATGGAAAGCAGCAGCTATTCACTTCCATAATATTATTTATTTCTACTATGGATGTCAGTGAGTGTTAGTTTGCAACATTCTTCAAAACATCTTATTCTGCATTCAAAAGAAGAAAGAAGAAACGAATAAATGTTTAAATCTACTTGACTGTCTGTAAACGGTTATGAAGTTTTAATTTTGCGGTGAACTATTCCTTTAAATTCTTGCACTCTTTGAAGCAGAATGGATTCTGATAGGCTGCCAGTGGTATTTATTGTGCATAAACTGGAAAGAAATGAAATGATTTCATCACATTTAAAAGGTTTTAATACATTTTATCAGTCTTTTTGTGAATCTGCCTTTTACCTTTTGGAAGTTTAAAAATGCTCTTTTGGCATTGTTCAAAACACTTTGATTGCATTTTGCATCGATAATGAATTATAATATGAAGGCAAACCAAACGCCGAGTTAAAAAAAATTTGGTGCTTGAAATGTCTTTATTTTACTGCACTAAACTCCTGAGTTATGATGAGTGAGATCCCGTTGATGCATTGGATTTATTGAGACCTCCTAAAACACTAACCTTTTTGGAATGTACTTTTCCTCCTGCAATTTTGCATCAACTATTTGTCTCTTTGAGAGAAAGAACTTTTTTTCCCTTGTGTGGATATCTGCTGTGGATGTGTTTTTCACTGTATTCCTGTATGTTTTCAGTGCCAAGCATAAATCCCGGTAATGGAGCTTTGGACGGACCGGCAACATCTAATAAGCTTCTATGTTTATCGTCTTGAGAGGGAGCCAATTTAAATCACGCAATAAAAGATACTAAGCACTTTATTTAGCATTCAACACCTTAGAGGTATTGTAAACAATCAAAGTCACATTGTAAAAGTCTTATTTTAAACTTACTAACTAAGGGATGGTATGTGATATAAGAGATCAACAGATTATATAACTTTAAGGCATGTCAACACTGTTCTTAAAATGAGTTTTGAGTGGATTTGAAAGTGAGTTTGAAGAATTCAAATGCGAAGACCTCTAAGTACCATTTGAATTTTCTTCTAAAATGGCCATTTTTTCTCACCACCCCATGTTTTTAAACAGTTATTTTACATGAAATGCAATAAAAGTAACTTGAGAGTTTTTATTTTTAGAAGGAAATTTCAAATGGCACAATTTCCTTCTAAAAATAAAAACTCTCAAGTTACTTTTATTACTTTTTATTGGTAGAGGTTTTCCATCTGATCTCTGTATTTAATATTTGTACTAAATAAGGGATGGTATGTGATATAAGAGATTATTATTATATAATTTTAGGGAACTGTTCTCAGAGTGAGTTTGGAGTTGATTTGATAGGGAATTTGAAGAGATTATGTGTAAAACCTCTAAGTACCATTAGAATTTTTCTTCTAAAATGGCCATTTCTCTTACCATCCCATGTTTTTGATCAGTTATTTCACATTAAATGCAATAAAAGTAACTTAAAAATGCTATTTTTAGTAGAAAGTTTCAAATGGCACTAGAGTTTTTTTTTTCCATCTGATCTCTTTATATGATATTTTTACTAACTAAGGGATGGTATGTGAAATAAGAGATAAACAGATTATATAACTTTAAGGCATGTCAACAATGTTCTTAGAGTAAGTTTGGAGTGGATTTGATTGTGAATTTGAAGAGTTCACATGTAAAACCTTGACCATTTGAATTTGTCTTCTAAAATAGCCATTTCTCTCACCATCCTATGTTTTTGATCAGTTGTTCCATATTAAATGCAATACAAGTAACTTGAAATATGCTCTTTTTAAAAGAAAAAATAAAATGTCTCTAGTGTTTTTACATCTGATCTCTTTATTTGATATTCTAAGTGAATTGATCTGTTGTGATATTAAATCTGTGCTTTGATAATTCTCCACAAAAATGCAATAATTTAGCCAAAAATGTAATTTGTATTGCCCTAATCAAGGGCAAAAAACTTTTTCTCTATTTTTCTCTATTTTCTTTAGAATTGTCAGAATACTGACAGAAACATGCTAATGTGAAGAACTTTTTTTTTAATCTTCAAAAAATCTCACAAATAAAAACAGTGATAAACTTAACCCTTTAACTGCCCCAACAAGGAAAAAAAATGTTTGGATTGCATTTCTTAACTCCTAATGTCAATAGTTAACACATTCAATCCACTTTTTTTCCAAAACATCCATTAACTTCTAACATATCAACCTCTACCAAATAGTTGACGGTTTATGGTAAAATAAAAAAAATAAAAAATCGGAATTAATACACTATGAAAAATCTGAAAATATGAAGTATAAGAGCAATTTATTAGAAAAAAAAAAACATTTTGAATACTAAATCATCTTTATTCTATGAAGTATGACATGAAATATTTTAGATTGTCATTTAACATGTTTTCTAGTTTTTTTATTTTTTATTTATTCATTTATTTTTTTTTACAATAAAACCAATACCAAGTGTAGTAGTGCAACAGGATTATGTTGGATTTTTTTTTTTATAAACCAACAATGCTGTTTGTGTAAACCATTATTTAAAACAGTCATTCTCTAAATGACTTTAACAGTTTAGATGGTTAACAGTTAACAGTCAGAGCAGTCTGTTAAAGGGTTAATGTGCCTCAGAAAACAATTAAGAATGCTAAGTGTAAAATTAGGAACATTAACAGAAAGGTTTCCTATGTTTCTACTTGGCTATGATGCACAAAATCGTTGTCTACACTCAAACAATGACTTGCTGCTTGTTCAAACTACATATTTAAAATGAGACGAAACAACACAATTATTAAGTATTATTTTAGGGGACAGCTTAATTGTTTCATGTTTAACACCATATATTTTAATAGATGTGTATTGGGACAACATGAAAGAATTATGTTGAGCCCAGCATTTTCACAGTGTAGCCTATGCATAACCTTGGATATTTTGTCAAAACTTGGAAATGTAAAAGGTCAATTCTTACCTTTCCCGCAGGCTCCTCTCTGGATGAAGATGATGGGTGGCTGCTGAAGCTTCTGCGCCCGGTTACTGACCCTCTTGAGTTCGCAGATGTTCCTGTAGGACACCCCATCACTGCCGCAGACCGGTTCAGAACTCTTGCACACGCACACGCCGGTCTTTCCTCTCCGTCTCACGGTAGTCGTTGCACCAACCCCGTCAGACACAGCGCATTCCAGACCTTCTCCACACTCCGGGTCTCCCAGTTTCCCTGTGCCGCCGCAGGACTCACCCTCGCCGGCCGCGCACACTGGGCAGCAGTCGCACTGGTCCAGGATGTCACCGGCCAGACAGTCGGGCGGTATAGGCGGACAAAGACTCTTATCACAGCGCTCCGGACAGCCGATCACATAACGCTTAATGATCCGCGCATCGCACAGCAGCGGTACCAGAATAATAGACGCGCACAGAATCAAAAGACGCATTTTACGACTATAATCAGAAGCAGAAAACTTTCAAGTCAAATATTTCCAAGTTAATGAGATTTGGAAAACGTCACGGGACAAATAAAAGGTTAAACTGCAGTGAACTTGACCAAGTTTGATGTGCTGTCAAATGCCCGTTATCCTGCGCTTCAATGACAGACTTTATAAAGCTTGAGGAGCAAAAACAGCAAGGCTGATTGGTTGAGTTTGACGTCAGGAACGGGTGTGGGACGGGCTTAATGGTAAACAAGGAGGCCACGCCCAAGCATGTGTCTAAATATTATGGTAACAAATCCCATGCACACATTTTGAAAGCTATAGGCTACGTCAATCAATCAATCAATCAATCAATCAATCAATCAATCAATCAATCAATCAATCAATCAATCAATCAATCAATCAATCAATCAATCAATCAATCAATCAATCAATCAATCAATCAATCAATCAATCAGTCAGTCATTCAAAGTAAATTTAAATAGACTACATTTAAATCACTTATATTAATTTATATAAAATGTGTATTTTTTCAAATTTGTAGTTGATAACATTGTATATTTAGTTAGATTAATAACTAATAGTAATATATAATAACTATATAATTGTATAATCATAGTTAGTTTATTAGTATATAATATAGGGAAGAATGTGAATAATTACAAGTGTAAAAGCACAGTACCGATAAAAATGCTTTTTAGACGAGTTATGAACAACCATATGCTGAAACCCCTTAAAACCTCTTTTTTTTAAACCGTGTACTCTATGCTTCTAAAAACTATATTTATTTGAAGTTTATCTGTACAGTGGTGAATTAATACATATCCCAGACTATAGTCTCCTTTGAGTTCTAGAATATTATAGTCACAGTTTTTCTTTCTTTTTAATATATTTCTTATAATATTAAATAGATTTTAATAAAGTAAAATTGATATGTCCTGACACTGTTTTTGTTGGCATGTTTAGGGCAATATTATATACGTATTTGCAACAGTATAGATTTTGACAAAAACATTAAAATTGAATCAGACATATTCAATATATTTCTTTATATGTATATATGAAAAAAAGAAGGAAATTACTAGAAAAAAAATTACTAGAAACAAGTTTAAATGATACAGCTTTTAATATCATCCAGATATATTCCTGATAGAATTGGCAAGGCAAGGCAAGGCAAGACAAAGCAAACTTTATTTGTAGAGCACAATTTTACACAAGGGTAGTTGATCTAAAGTGCTTTACAATGATAAAAATTAAATAAAATATAGACTTGTCTTAAAAATATAAGAAAAAAAATATATATTAACTGAAATACAGATATACAAATTTAAAAACATCCAATGAGAAATGCTGATGTCCAGAGGGAGACTGTTCCAGAGCCTTGGGGACGCAAAACAAAAAGCTTAACCTCTTTTGATTTGCAGCGAGACCGAGGTACAGACAAAAGAAACTGATCATAGGACCTTAATGGCCTACAAGCTGTATATGGCCTTATAATTTCATGGTTATAGACCGGGCAGAATTGTGCAATGCTTTATATGTGAAAAGAAGGATCTTAAAATCAACTCTGAACTTTATAAGAAGCCAGGGCAATGAAGCAAAGACAGGAGAGATATGATCTGAACCAACTGTAACCAATACATAATCGGACCAATACACAATTTTAAACAATACAGTGTTGATTGAGGTAGACAAATTACAGAAATCTAACCGAGAGGAAATTAAAAACATAATTTACTATTTCTAGATCTTTATTAGAAAAAAACGGTTTAACATTTGCCACCAATCTAAGTTGGAAAAAGCTAGTCTTTACAATTGCATTTACATGCTTGTCAAAATGCAAAAGTAGATAAAAAAAAAACTCAGGTTAACGTTTTTTTTTTTTTTTTTTTTTCGTTGTTCGTTGTATGCGAACAATGTAATTTGTAAAATAAAATGATGTTATTTTTGCACAAAAGCATATGAATTCTCTCTCTCTTTCTAACAAAAGTGAGTGCAAAGAGTAAAGAATGACATCATTTTAGGGCGGACTGTTATCTTGAATAGAGAACATATGTTAAAATCTTGTTAATGTAATATATTTGACATCTTTTAAATTGAGTTCAAAAATAAACATTTTATTCTGAATTCTCCAAAAAGGGTCAATAAAACTGTTCAAGATGAAGTCATTTTGAATGTTTCTGGATTGATCCAATGAATTTAAGTATAGAAAAATGTCTTTTTGATCATAGAGCAGAAAGGCCAGATATAGTCTGGCACCAGTAACTGATATAACCACTACTGAAGTGAAAAGGCTGCAGAACAGAAGTACATTTAACCTTGAAGCAGGTGAGCTACAGCAGCAGAAGAGCACATTTGGTAAAATTCCTGTCAGGCTCAGCAAGAATCAAATAATACAAGACTGGAAAAAGGTTGTCTAGTCCTTTTTTGTTATGACATTCAGAATTTGGCATACGAACATGTAAATGTACTGTAGATCAAGCCTTGCATCAATGGTTCAGGCTGCTGCTGGTGGTGTAATGGTGTGTAGGGAGATTTTCTCACACACTTTAGTCTCCTTTGTACCATTGAGCATTGTTAAAACACCACAGCCTTACTCAGTATTGTTGCTGACCATGCCCATTCCTTTAAGACGAGAATACACACATCTTGTGATCATGGACAAATCTGCAGCAGCTGTGATGCTACTGTATCAGGTTGTTATGGACAAAAATCACTAAATAATGTTCTCTACTCCTTGAAGCTAAAAAGAGCTGCAAATTGTACACTAAAAAATTATATGTTGGTTTTAATTAACTTATTTATGTCAAAAGGTTCCACGTAATTGAGTTTTAAAAAAAGAATATTTATTTTAGGGAACTTAAGTTAGTGACATAAAGGCAATGTAATGTTGTTTAGTTCAATCAACATAACATACATCAGTTAGTTTCAATCTACGTATTATTTAAGTTCAGTTACTAAATAAATTAAAGCTAAATTATGAATGTTATGTTGGTGAACTTTATTTAGGGATTTAATTTATATCAAAATTTACCAAGCATAACATTTCACAGAAATGCTACTAAAACTAACTAAAATGTGAAACTAAAATGTGAAAAAGACAGGTAACATGGCAATTACATAATAGGCCCAATATTATAACGTTATACACAACATGGTATTAAACTTTCTGTACACTTTTTCAATTTGTACCGTAATATTCATATTTTGATTCCAGTATAATGAGAGTGATTGCTGTGGTTTGAATCTTGTCCTGTGTTGTCATGAAACTGCGCATGTGCAGATTTTACTCCACCTTATGACCAAAATGCGGTACTGCAGAAGCAACACAACCCCCTTTCACTTATTTTAATTAACCGAGCTGTATAAAATTGAAAACTTACTTCTTTGGATCAACTCATTTTTTGAATCAACTCAAGCCATAATCCATTTTTAGTGCATTTCATAAAGTGGAAGGATACTGTAAGGTGTGAAAAGTGTCCTTGAATTCAGTGGTTGAAAAAACTATTAAAGAGCCCATATTATGGGTTTTTGAAAATTCCCCTCCATGTAGTGTGTAACACAGCTCTAAGTGAAGTGAAGTATCCAGCTAAGGCTTAAATCTGTAAGAATACAGTGTTTAAAACTGTTGATTCATCTATAAAAGAGTCGAATCATAGTGCTTCAAACGAGTCGCCTTGATACCGACTCATTAGGTGTTTCGCCATGACGTACGAACGAAACAAAGTTTTTCACGTGCACGCGCAAACCCGGGAGATTTCAAACCTGAGGCCCCGCCCTGTGACGCAGTAACCCAGACACACACACACACCCACAAACACACGCACACCCACAAACACACGCACACAAACATGCCGGTCGATTGAAGTCACACTGCAGATGGATATATTGAGTCTCTACCCAAAGATGAAACATCAGCATTATAACCAAGCAGTTGGAAACTTCTGGAAGCTACATGCTACAAAGAATACTTCATCTGAGTTTGTTAAAGGAAGGATCAGTAAAGAGTAACTGATGGACGTCAGGATGAGTTTCTTCCTACATTTCTCAAGTGTAAGTACGTGCGGTTAAAGTTGTTGCCTCGTTTACTCTAGCTTGCAAATGTATTTAGTTGTGGTTTGTTACTTGTAACCGAGTGTACTGTATCAGGTTAACTGGATATATTATCTTATCGCGTGCAAAGTCACGTTAAAAACGCGACGCGTGCTGTTTGTTTATGGAGCTCCGTGCTAGAGTTCTGCTCCCGCGATTTATTCGGAAATGTATTCCCGCGCCGCAGAAATCTGGCGCGGGGAGAGAGAGAGAGAGAGAGAGAGAGAGAGCGAGAGAGAGAGCGAACGAACGAACGAGCTCTGTGTACTTTGTGCTGTGTGTGTACAGACAGCTTGGCTGTCTGGACTGTATACTGGGTGATATTTGGTTGTGTTCTCCGCTCTAGCGGGACCGGGCGCGGCGGGCAGAAAACGGAGCGGGTTCTCAGGCTAAAACCTGGCGGGTGCGGGCTGAAGCGGGAGCGTTGTCATCCGGAGGTGTGTGTGTGTTTTTGTGTGTGTGTGGTATGGCGAGTACACGACTGTCTCCTTCGTTCGGTTATCCGTGGCACTATCCACTCGCCATAGTGTGGCAGCTAAAGTCCACGCCTACACTATCGAGCGTGTATGAACTGTGATTACTTTTTAAATTGCTGATTAGCTATTGGCCATTTCCCTCTCTGACTGAAGGCAGTCGACCAATCGCGACAGACTGTCATCGGTCCAATCAGCGCAGATTAGCTCCGCGCTAAGGAGGGGTTTGGGAACAAATGAATCACTGGACGATTCATACAGGAGTCGCTGGGATAATTAGATAAAAATAAATGCAGATTATAAGACCATGAAAGTGTTTTTTGACCTTGCATGCATATTAGACTGTTGTTGGAGACCCTTACAACCAAGATATGACCTTATTTCATGTATAATATGGGCTCTTTAAAATGCTACAGTAACCTGGTTAACCGTAAGTGTCTTTAATATATGATAAATTACTATAAATTCACTTTCCCAAAGTTCTCTACATGACATTTTGCATGACTTTTTACGCTTTTCTGGTGACATTACTATGGATCTTTTTACTTTCATTTTATGGGTTA